CAAAACCTCTGACAGGCGCCCCATGCGCTCCTAGGGCCCCGCGAACACAGCAGGACATGACACCAGGCAGTGGGGAGAGATGGATGCCCAGGAGGCTGAGGCAGGAGGATCCCAAGTTTGAGGCTAGCCTCGGCAGCTCAGTTGGGCCCTAAGCAACTTGGTGAGACCCTGACTCAAAATAAAAGATAACAAAAGGCTGAGGAGGCGGCTTCTGTGGAGCTTCCTGTACTTTCTACTTCCTTCCCGAGGATTTCCATTTCTTCTCTTTTCCTGCAGTTGGCTCCTGACGGCTCTTGGTGCCGTGTTAATGGCTGCTTTAAGGTCAGGTCATGTCCGCCAGCCTCCTGATGGCCTCTGGTGACTCTTCTACTCACTCCACCTGCCATCGTCCTGGCTCTTGGTGTGACAGTGTCCTGGGCTCTGCTGCTGTCGCTGGACACCTCTGTGGTACAGGCTCGAGTCCTGCTGGACCTCCCTGAGTCCCTGCCCACAGGGAACACGGGTGGCACCTGGTCGTGACTCACAGTGAGGGTCCCAGTCCAGGGTCCCTGTCTGGCCTCCTCAGCACCCAGGTGGGGGCCTTCCTGACTGCCACTGGGGGTGACAGTTCCTGCTCCCTAGTCCTTTGAGGAGGTCCCACCTCCCCTGGGCCTGTGACACTGCTCCCAGGAGGAGAGGTGCCCATCGTAGCCCCCGAGTCCCCACAGAGGGCGACTCCAGGGTGGGTGAGCAGGGAAAGGGGCCCGCTGTCCAGCCCTTGAGTGGCCCCTGGACCCCATCCCAGCAGGACCTGGAGGTGCCTCCGTCCAGCCTCACAGGACGGAAGGGAAGTCCCTGGTGACTGGACCAGGTGTGAGCGTGTCCCCGGGGCTCACGGTGCTGGGTCGTGGTCCCCGAGGGCCATGCTGTGGAGGGACACACTCCAGGAGACGGGGCCTAGAGGTCACAGGGGCCTCACCCTTGGAAGTGACTGATACTGGGCTCTGGGGACACTAGTCAGTCCCCACACGTGCCCTGTATAAAGACAAGCCTGGCCTGGATCTCTCTGGCGTCCCACCTCAGCCTGCAACCCCTGCACTCACCACCCTCTCGCCGAGATGCCATCTGCACGTCGTGGGGTAGCAGAGCGCCCGACCCACAGTCACGCTGACGCCATGCCCCTGGGCCTCCAAGACTGTGAGCTAACAGACCCCTTTTCTCTATAACGTTCCCGGCGTCTGGTGTTCTGTCACAGCAACAGGCCACGGACCGAGACAGCCCCCCACCACCTGCTGCTTGGTCTCTGTGCACGGGGAGGAGCCTCCTGTCCACGACGGCCCCACCTTGTCAGGGTGCCCTTCCTCCCACCAGGGCTGCAGAGAGCGGGGTCACTGGACTTGGCTGATGTCCTCCTTGGCCCCGATTCTCCTCCCAGGACCCCCTGGATCCTTGGTGAACTGCGAGGTCTGTGCCCCCGTCACTGGTGGGGCACGGCGTCACTGGAGAGTGGACTTCCTGGTGCTGTCTGCCCCGGGATGCACCCTGAACGTAGAGAGGGTGGACCGTGCTCTGCCCCTGGTCTTGGGGTCCCCAGGGGAAGCCCAGTCACTGGCGTCCACCTCAAGGCCAACACCCGCTGTCCCTCTGCACATTCCAACCTGGATGCTGACCTCCCTCAGCAAGAGCCCCAGGAAATGCCTGGAAACTGGGAATGGAGATGGAGAGTCTAGGCCAGCTGCCGTGGACGGTTGACAGAGTTAACAATGACTCCACAAGTGTGTGCCGAGCCGCGGGCCCCCCTGAGAGCGCTGCTCCTGCCAGGTTTCTGTACCCAAGTTCCGCTGGTTTCATAAAAGGAATTTGGAAGGCGTCCCTCTTTCTCTGCGCCCAGAAATATTTTAAATAGCAGCAGAGTTCTCATTTCCCCAACGACTCGGTTGGCTTCCCTCCTGGGCCTGGTGATTTCCCCTGCTTTCCTGGTGGAGGAGGCACTGTGGAAGGAACCAGGGGCACTTCACCCCCAGGCCACATGTCCAGCTCCTTTTATTCTGTATTTTCAGACCGGGTCTTGCTAAGTGGCTGAGGCTGGCCTCCGACTTGAGATCCTCCTGCCTCAGCCTCCTGAGTCGTGGGGATGACGGGGCTGGGCCACCACACCCAGCTCAATCCATCGTTTCCAACTTGGGGCTTGTATAAATACAGCTACTGTAACATTCAGGCCCAAGTCCTGGGTCGACATGTTTTTTCTCCTCCTGGATGGACACTGAAAAGTGGGGAGACCAGGCCACGTGGTGGGTACGGCCTGTTTTCTCAGTGGCTGCTCCCCTTCACGCTCTCACTGCACAGCAGAAGGCTCCAGCTGCTGCGCTTCCTGGCCAGCACCAGGTCCTCCAGACCCACCATGTCTGGGGGTTGCAATTTGGTAACTTAGACCCAGCGGCGGAGAGAGAGCGTGAGCTCCGAGGTGCACACGGGAGCTGGCGGTGAGCCGAGGACCCGCTGGAGACACCAGGCACCGCCAGAAGAGCCGCCCGCGGAGCCCAGCCTGCCACCGAGCCCTGGGCTCAATATGAAGTCCTTCAGTTTAGGCCTCCAGGTTGCCGAGCAGCAGCTGAGCAGTACGGCAGGTCACGGGCTTAGCCTGGTCACCACAAGCCGATGAAGAGGCCTGATGATGTCATCGCCATGACAGTGTGGACCACGCCCTGCTCAGACTCCCTGCTGGACACATAAGAAAGGCTGCTTCCTGGCCTCTTCCCTGAAGAAGAGCGTGACGTCAAGACAAGGTGACAACTGGGACCCTCCAGTGACCCCTCAGGCCCGTGTTTATTCTTCCAAGTTGAGACCAGTTACAAAGTCCTCAAGACTGGGGTCCTCCTGCCTCGGCCTCCCAAGTCAGTAGAGTGTGGGTCCACACGAAGCCCCTGGCTGAGGAGGGGGACAAGAGGGATTCTGGAAAGACCGCAGTGGGCAGGAAGGACCCGAGGAAGAGAGCTGGGAGGGGGTCTGGCCTGGTGCTCCAGGGAGGCAGCCATGCTGGCCTCCTGCTCACACCTTCCACAGCTGCTCATGGCTCTAGAATAAACTCCCAGGTCCTCCAACTCCACTTGCCCTTCCCCCTCTTGAGCTGCTCTCCCCCAATCTTACTCTGCTCCAGCCGCACCTGCCTCCTTGGTTCCACAAGCAGGCCCTGAGCCATCCTTCCCCAGGGCCTTTGCACATGCCCTAAACCATCCTACCCCAGGGCCTTTGCACATGTCCTAAACCATCCTACCCCAGGGCCTTTGCACATGCCCTAAACCATCCTACCCCAGGGCCTTTGCCCATGCTGTCTTGTTGCTTTCCCTCCCCTTCCATGTCACTGGACTCACCCTTCAAATTTCTAGGGTCCTAATGTCACTAAATCATCAATCTACACCAGGTTACCTGTCGTCCCTACTTAAACCCCATGCGTTTCTCTAGGTCCTGCTCAGCAGCTCAGCAACACTTATTATGGACTGTACATTCGTGCTGCCCTACAACTCACACATTGAGGCTTTCTCCCCCCCCCACTTTTTCTTTGGTTCTGGGGGTTGGACCCAGGACCAGGGGTGCTGTGCAGCTGAGCCACATCCTCAGCCCTTTTTATTTTTTGGGACAGGGTCCGGCTAAGTTGCTGTGGCTGGCCTTGAACTTGACTCCCCCCACGTCCCGGGGATCACAGGTGTGCGCCACTGCACCTGGCACCTGGGCCACACTCAGACAGTGCCTGACTGACCATGTGACGGACAGCCGTCCCCCACCTGTCTGTGGGTCCGTCTTGCTCTTCGCTCCGCCCCAGAGCCTGTCCAGGGCCTGTCCAGGGCCAGACGTGAAGGAAACACTAAACTGGACGTAGCCCAGGAGGACGGCCTCAGGGACACAGTGTCCCGGGCTCATCCGGAATCTCGCTCCTGAGGTGGGGGCCACAGTCCTGAGAGGCCTCCCCTCGGGGGACAGCTGTCTCCCCCTGGACAGGGCGAGGACTCTGGCCCGGCTTCACCGGCAGCGGACACCGGGTCTGGTCAATAAGTAACCCGTGCCCCTCACCTGGTGGCTGGGCCAGGTGCTGGGGGAGGGAGCAGGGAGCTGGGACACGCAGTGCCCACCCGGGGACAGGGACAGGGAGTTCTCCTGGGGCTTTGGTGTCTATTTGAACAGGGAACCTCTCCTGAAGTCGTCCATAAACAAGTCTGAGAGCAGAAGCAAACAAACAGCCCCGTAGGCCCTGGTCCTGCGCGTTTGGGAGATGTCATCTGCGCAGCGGCAGGAGGACGCCAAGTCACTTCAGCCCCAAAGAGGACACAGCCCCCTTCCGCTCTGCCCGCAGAATCCCTCCTGTCCCTCGGGGCTC